TACCATTAATCAAATAAAAATATACTTTCCATGAGTTTTGTTTAGGAGGGTGGCAGCAGAAGAAATCCAAATGACAGAGTGTCCACATCAACTAGGTGACCTGAATAACTGTTTAATCAAGATCAAAAAAAGCAATCATTATTTGGAAGGTTCTACTACCTATTTATTAACTCAGGGATCTGTACTTGTACAATACAAGTAACTATTTTACATATTTTTACTATTGCTTTACCATGAAATGCTATCCTGATTTCGAAAAAAAGCACAAGAAAATGAAATCTTTGCAATCAACCAATCACTGTCTCAACCATATCATGAACTTTTTGTAACAAATCCCTCCATTTCCATCAAGTGGCCAATCAGAACCGTGAACTACAGTAATTTCACTTCTTTAAAGCACTCTATTGTTCTCAGTTTTCACCTTAGACAACAACATCATTTCTACACAGAAAATTCACATTCTTCCTGCTTTTGTTGCACATGACAAAATTACAGAAAAGACCAGCCCTACTGGAATTTATCAACCAATAGAGCATTCTTCTTGCAAACTACAAAAACCACTCTGTCCTATGTCCTGGCACCATGGAGCTCCCAGTACAATCCCTGGAAGGAGAACAAACACTGTGGCATGCTCGGTACAGTGGACGGATTTCCCCCTTCCTGCCCTCTTCTAGCTATGATAAACACCAAAGCAAAGTCATGCTGTAGAAAAAGGAAAAACGAAACAGAACACAGTAGATTTCAACATTAATAATAAATCAAAAAGCTGTTCCAGTGTTACAGCAGGCAAACCATAGAGTGGTAAGGACAGCTTGTGCACTGAAAAAAAAAAACAAACAAAAAACCACTTAGATAATGCCACATCTTAAGGAACAGTGTTTGGGATTCCAAGACAGAGTCTGCAGCTCTCCCTTGTCTTTTTATAGTTGGTGGAAGGTTCCTTCAGAATACCTAACAAGTAATGTCTGGAATGATTTCAAAATTTATTCTGCAGCCATATAAACATAGCCAGGTAGCACACAAGCACAGTTTTAAAATCACTTTGAGCATTTGTGCAATGGATGTCTTCGATGTGGTACAAAAATAAAATGTGATTTGATATGAGGTATTACATCACTGTCCTGTGATCCCTCATTTTAGAAAGAGTAATTTAAAATTACAACCAGCATTTATAGAGCTAGCTAAGCACTTACAGTAAACACTGTGCATGACATCAGAATCCCTAGAAACAGTTACAGCAAGCCAAGAAAGTGTGGAAAAAAATACGTCTTTGCTGTTATTTAAAGGCTAAATTTAGCTTAGTGAAGACTATCTTCTTCTAAAGTCAATGGGAAGAGAATGTCACTTTAGAGCAATGGTTCAAAGTTATTCAAACTCAGGAAA